ATTGTGAAGATTTGAATTGCTGTTGTTTAATCAAGCTCCCTTAGCATAATACAGTCATAAGCTATCAAATCTCTGATAGTCTTCCTTATATAACATGTATTTTTTACAAAAAAGATTTTCTCTTTATGGATATAAATTATATGTACATCATGAAAAGCATACATTATAGAAAAGAAGGAAGATGGAGTGATGCATATATATGTAAACTGCCAAAAATAATTTGATGTATTCCATTCCAAGACCTCTATGTATAGCTTCTTTTTCTTGGGGGGAGTGGGCTGATGATAGGGTATGTAATGAACCACCCAGGTCCTCTGCACTGAGTTGTAACTCCAGCCCTTTTTAATTTTTTAATTTTTTTTTTGCGGTTCTGGGGATTGAACTCAGGTCCTTGCACTTGCAAGGCAGGTGTGATGCCACTGAGCTAAATCCCAGGCCCCATTATTTTTCATTTTGATACAGGGTCTCACTAAGTTGCTAAATTGCCCAGATTGGGATAGAATTTGTGATTCTCCTGCCTGAGCCTCCCAGAGTGCTGGGATTAGAGGCATGTGACATTATGCCTAGTTCCTTGTGTTTACCTTAATATAATCTAGATATTCTTGACAAGAAAATTCCCATTTAATACCATGTGAGAAAAAAAATAGTCCTTAATTATCTCTCTTACTGGTTAAATCTTTTGCCAAGTTGATTCAAATACTGTGGCAAAGAGAACTTTTTAAAAAAATTTCAATATTGAAGGAGAAAATAATGAGTTCTTTATTAAAAATGGATTCTGCCAAACAGAAACCTTTCCTCAACACTTAAAAAAAAAAAAAAAAGATGCCCTCTCCAATCAACTGAATAATATGTCATTGGCTCCAACTGCTCAGAGGCTCTAGCAGGGTTTCTTTTATGGCCATCTTGCTGACCATTCTGTGTCAACTACAAAACTAGAGAATTACTTGGCTCAATCTTTAACCAACAAATTGGTTTCATACATGCGCTAATCAAAAACACAGAACAACTTGGTGTCCCCAGCAAGTATTGTGTAAGAGGATTAAAAAATGAATTCACATTGCTACTGTAGTCTTGCCACAAGGCTAAGTTACATGCATCCAGGCAGGAAGCAGTGGAAAGGCACAGGTCTTGTGTTAAGCATCTCTACTGAAGAATCTGTTTTTTGGTCATGGTAGAACAACAAGCATAGGACTTCCTGCTATAAGAAACCAGCAACACTAGATAAATTACAAGAAACAATTATTTTTATGCTTTGGGAAACATGTAATACAGGGCTGCAGCCCCTAAGAGAAGGGAAACAATGAGATGAGCCCTATAACTGGCCTGGGCTCTGCCTGGAGGCAACTTCCAGACTGTAAGTAGAAGGAAAAAGTCAAAGAGAGCCAATAGGTAGGCTTGCTGAACTGAGGAGACAGAAATGAGTGCTGGGGGAGGGTAAGGTAGTAGAAGTTGCAAGGCAGATTTCTGAAAAGGAAGATCTATACTAAAAAGGAGTTCTAGAAATCTGCCTGAAAGTGACCTTGAGTCTTTGCCAAGTACTAGGGTACATGTATCAGAGAGTAACACAAGGGTGAAGAAATGGCTGGGAACCGCAAGTTAAATTATTCCCAGAGTGTACTCCAGGTTGGGGAAATGTCTGAGCTCCAAAGAGCCCTAGGGAACAAAGAGTGTTTCCTTCGGGCATTTAGCAGGGTGTTCAGCAGAGAATTCAAAGGAGGTCAGCCCGAATTGGCATCATCCCTAGTAGGCATGCTATCCTATAATATGTCTTTTCTAATGAAATTTAAGAAAGGCCTTGAGGGTGATCCAAAAGTAATCTCAACTGTCCACCAAACCAAAGCCCAACATACTTTAAAGAAATACAATCAAATCAAAATCCATACACTCAGCAATGTAGCATTCACAATGTTATAGCCAATGAAATTCATTCAAAACATGACATTCCTAGCACAAAAACACATACCAAATTATAAGAAATTTTTAGTTGTGTAAAAGCTGTTAGAAGTGTGATCATTCATCTAAAAGATTAACTCATTGAAAAGAAACATGCAAGCAAGAAATACATTCATACTGAATCTCAAAAAATATTCTGACCTTTCCAGTGTGGAATATTGTTCACCTCTGGAATTTCATACATGCTACTCAGGCTTCCAGTGGGACAACCGTAAGGCTGTTAGAGGTTAAGGCCAAATGTAAGCCAAATAAATCTTAATTGCTCATTTCCTTAAATTGTTCAGGCTCCAACTCTCATGGGGTCTTTCCTTCTCATTTGTTTTTAGTGCTATCAATAATCTACAAAATGTGTTTAAGGGGATCAGATTAACTGAAAAACAATTTATAGATCTACCTTATTTAGTGACTTAAAGCATTATCTAAACACTTGCCATCATCTCAAGAATATCTTTTCAGAAAGATATTCTGTCACTGGAATACTTTCTGCTTTCACACACTCCGATGTTCATTGTGAAACAATGACAAATATTATGTATATTTATAGTACACACTAGTTTTGAAGAATGATTTCTGAATTTAATCAATTTTTCATTAAATGATTTGCTTAATAATGAAAAAAGTTACTGTAGAGATGGGATTATGACACACATTTCCTGGAATCAAAATAAAGAATTTAGAAGACAACTGAGAACACAAAATCTCTTTAAACATTATAAATAACTGTTTTATTACTTCAAAATACCAAGTCTTCCATATAGTACTTATCATATATATCAAATGCCTTACAAATCTTAGCAGCTAGATCTACTATCTTAATCTCCTCAGAACAAGGACATAAGAGGGTGAAAACCTATAAATCAGTCCTTGACGACAGAGGGTCTGTTTAGGAGTTTACCAAATGGAATGACCCTGTTGGAATTCCTTCAAGAAGCCTGTGAAAATGTCAGAACGGAGTCTGTTTTGGAGGTCAGAGTCCCTAGAGAGCTCTGAGTTTGGGCCTGTTTGTCTTTTCACATGCTTTACTGTTTGAAAATCTTTCCTTGTAGACACTGACTGATGCCCAGGGAATGCTAGGATTGTGGGAACTGGCAGTACCCATGAGAGACGAACTTCATGGGAAACCCGTGCCTACTACATTGCCCACTTGAAGCTCATCAGATAAGCTGCTCTTCGAATGTTATGAAGGTACACAGCAAGGCATTAAGAGCTACAAGTCATTCTGACTTCTTTAGAAAGAAATATTTGTGGAAAATGGAGCAAAATTTTCTGACTTATTGAAAGAAACACTAAGTTGCAAAACTTAATGGGCAAAACCTGAAGAAATATATTCATGTGGTATGAACTGAGATACTGAATTGTCAAAATATAATTCTAAGAACAAATAATTCAGATACTAACCACATGCCCACACTATTCTAAACATGCGGCTGAGATTAACTTAACTAACTGTCATACAATCTTATGAAGCCGGTACTAATGTGATCCCCAATTTGCAGGTAAGGAAACTCAGGAAAAGAAAAGATGCAGATTGGCGTAGGCAGTATAATGCATACTAAATTGTAACCAGAATCTAAATTCAAGGTGTCTTCAGACTTGGTACTTTTTTACTACTGTGCGTGCTGCCTCCTTCATGGTGTCTATATGGCAAACATGCAACACAACTATCATATGCTGAGTGCCTAAGTTGTGCCAGGTGTGTGCTGCTTTAACGCCTTATTTCACTTAACTGGGCTGGGGATTTAGCTCAGTGGCACTGTGCTTGCCTCGAAAGCACAAGGTCCTGAGTTTGATCCCTGGTACTGCAAAAAAAAAAAAAAAAAAAAAAATCCACATGCTTATTTCATTTAATCTTCCCAATGGCCTATGGGGTACTTCAAACGTTCTTCCTATTCCATAAATGAGACACAGGGATTAAGTGGCCTGATACAGCACATCTCTGCAATGGAGCGGGCACTACTGACATCTGAATTCACAGCCCTCTTTAAAACTAGGTTCTTCTTATCAGTCATCTATAAGAATCATCTCTAAATTAATTTCCTGTAAATAGTTGAGGGAATTTTAAAAACCATGTGCTCAACAATTTTATGAGAACACACTACAGTTTGAACTGCTGACTCTATACCAGAGGCTTAAAATCTAGAAACTATTTAAGAGACATAATGATCATTCAATAAATATGTTAATAATAATTTTTAAAATACCTGTTTTTTCCATCCTTGATTGGCCAATTCTTTAATACGCTGAGAGAGCTGAGTTTTCTGAGTGACAAATTTTTTCTTTCATATAATACTTGACAGTGATTCTTCTTAACTGCTATGAAGGATCAAGTCTTTTGTCAAAAAGGGCCTTCTATAGTAGTCAATCCTAAGTCTACAGAATGCTGACCATCCTAAAATTTGCCAGTTCTTAAACTTAGCCTCCAAGAACCAAAGGTAAGTGGTAAATCAGACTTACCGCTTTTCTTGTTATGCCTTTATTAAACATAGAGGTCACATATAAAAATTTTAATTTGGTGAAAAGAGACATTAGAATCTTAATGCAAACGTATCATAAATGACCAGAAAAGAACATAAATAATTTAGGCTTTAAAAAAACTAAAATATTATCTTTTAATTGATAGGCTTATACTACTATAAAGATTCTAGTACATACATGCCAATCCTCGAAAACCACAAAGATAAATTATTTTTAAAATAGACATATTATTTAAAAAATAGTATTAAGTCAATTTCCCTTTTCTTTTAAAGATGGAGGAAAGTGACAAATGAGAGAATTGGCATGTATGGCTTAGTGATACTGCTTTGAGGAACACATTAAACAGCAACATGACTAATCTGTGGGAATTTCCATCAATTAAGATGGAAGTTATTATCTATTTCTTTTTCTGTTTCTGCTGCCCAGTGGACGCACAAGGCAAAAGCAATAATGAGAGATAAAAACACATGACATAATGAGGAAGAGCAGCCACAGAAAGACACATGGGCTGGAAGCTACTGTACAGATATTGCAATGGGCATACTGTGACACGGAGAGCTTCTCAGACTTACCCATGCTCACAGACTGAGTCAGCAGAGGAAGCTGGAGTCCTGACTCTCCAAAGACTACACTTCCTGTTAATAATAGTGAGGGCAGCAGGTGAGGGCAAGAATGCCAACAGTATGGATTAAGTTAAACGAGTCAGAAAAACATTGGGTATATTTGCTCATTAATAATTACTAATCACAAATCCAAAGACAAAATTTCATTACATTTGTTATTTTAACATATTTATCTTACTGCTTTCTGTCACAATAGTATTGTATTACTGATGTCTTAAACTATGAGCCAAGGGCCGGGGATTTAGCTCAGTGGTTCCAGCGCCTGCCTCACAAGAACAAGGTCCCGAGTTCGATCCCAGAACCAAAAAAACCAACAACAAAAAACTTCCAAAAAACCTATGGGCCAAATAACAAAATAAAAATAATAACATCACTTTTTTCTGGTATACTCTATATTTAACAGGCTCTCTTAAAAGTATAATACAGAACAAATACTAAATATCTAGTTTTTCTTCCTCTATTTTCTTTTTAGCTAAAAGGTCTCTGCAGTAAGATTAGGTGGCAGACATAAGTTAAATGAGCCCCCAATTCAATTTTATTCTCTCAGCCCAGCTAAAGGACTGATCATAAACTATATAAGTTCAAGCAGCTGAGAGGTCTAAGTAGCTAGAAATAGTTTAATAATATTTATTAACTAACCATTTACATTACATGTTATCTTTTATAACTGGTTTTGCAGAGATGGCAAAGACTGCTCCTTAATAAATTTGTTTATTCAATGACCTGATGTCTATTAAAAATCCTACAGTGGACTATAATTTTAAGAAAATTATCTCAAATGTTCTATATAAGAGATTATATACTTCTCTGATTCTAGTAACTAGAAAAGTGTTGTAAAAATTTTAGGTAAGCATTTTTATAATTTTAAGATGGCATGTTTTCACTGTGAGTTTAAAATGCTATTATGTTCTAAGTCTTCTTTTTAACAAATATGGTTCATTGTTGATCCCCCAAGACTACTTCTATAATTCTAAAGATACAATCTGAAGACATTCAAAATGAGGCTTCAGCAGGGCTATAGCTGGGGGCTATGGTCTTGCTGATGATGCACCTTTGAAACTGTAGGCTTTATCCATCCTACTCGGGAAAGACAACTAAAACACACTCATGTTACAGTCTGACACTGTTATGCTGCCATCTCATTTCAGACTCTGCCAGCTACAAGAGAGAAAGAAAATTCCCTCAACAACCCCCTACACACACACATGCATACCACTTGTTTGTATGCAGCAATACACTGAAGCAACTAAATCCTCAGTATCAACAAAACTAATTAAGAATCTCAGAGTAGAAAAACAGAAGGTGCACAGGTTATAGGCGCTTATATAAATTGTGAACAAAACATGTTATTTAATAGGAAACTTTATAAAGGACATTATGAAAGACAGTACCTTCAAAGTATTTATAAGGCTTCTTTTTTATTTTGAAGAATTCAAGATAGTACCACAAACTATGCATATGAGGGGAATCACAATTAAGAATCTCATTTAGAGTTATTAGGTTTATAACTTGCTTTTGAACTTTATAGTTGTGTTTAGTATAAGTCCTGAAGCCTAATTTTAAAAACGTTTTTAAAACTTGACTAAAAAAATACTATATTCAAAGAGTATATGGCCTGGGATTTAGCTCAGTGGTTTTGCCGCCTGCTGCGCAAGCGCAAGAACCCAAGTTCAATCCCCGGTACCAAAAAAAAGAAAAAGAGAGAGAGACAGTAAAGAGTATAGAATTATATACATATATCGCTTCTGGTTGTAACTCCTGAAAGCAAGAAAAGAAATTATCAAAATGTGTAAAAATGTTTTTGAGAATTCAGCAAAGTCAATGTAAGACAATTTGAGAAAATTATTCATTTCTATTATCTCTAGTTATAGAAAAGGAAAGTAAAAATCCCATAGTTTTGTGTTGGCTATTTAGTACACATTTATTTACTTCCAATTTATGATATTAGGAGTATTTTCTGACTGGCTGTCAACTCCAGAGAAAGACAGAAATTTCCTGTTTCTTTCACAAATCTCCACACAATTATACCAGTCTGTGTACAATCTAAGGAATTCAGTTTTGCCCAAAACAAATGTTTATCACCTACGTGAATTTCCAAACATCTGGAAGGACAATAAGCCTAGCAGATTAATGAGGAGTAGGGAAATGTTTTCAGAGTAAAAACTTTCCAAAAAGATTAGCTGCAAACATATTTTATAAGGGGTATGGCAAGGAAGCAGTTTTCCGGGTGGCTGAGTTCTACAGCCGGGCAAAGTTCATCTGAATAGTCTGCAAATATATTAATACATATATTGAATCCAAAACAAAGAGCCACCATGTATTTCCATGTGTTCAACAAACTCAAATAAATTATATTGTCCCTAGTAAGTGATAATAGGAATAGATGGCCTAAAATTGTTCCTTGTGATAAATTTAATGGATAAAAAAATCTTAGAAATAATTTTCAAGATGAAACCATAAGTTCAAACCACTAAAAATGTAGAAAATAGTAACACCAAAGTTTAAAAAAGAACAAATAAATCTCTCTTCTTTACTAAGGCCTAAAACATTATTTCATAGTAAACAATTTCAAAAAGCCTTTCAATATAAGATAGCAAGTCCTGATTTTACTGCTACTTGATACTACTGACAGCTGACTTATGGTGAATCTATGACCATGTTAAAGTGGTTGATGCCTTAAAAACACCTAGAATCAGAGACATAACAAAAACTCTTAAAATTCCAAACACCTTTCAAAAATGGAATCCGTATTAATTTCTCCGCTTACTCTATAATAATAACTGGCAATGACTTAAAAGCTTCAATTTACCACAGCACCCTCTGGACTTGTTCTACCTGACAGCTTACTAGTCTTGTCAACAACCTCATGAAGAAGGGTCCCTCAGAGCAGGGTCACCTCAGAACGTGGGCACAGGCAAAGAGTTGCTCTTTATCAGATGCTGTCTCATCCTACCTTGTCTTCACTGATTTCATAAAGCTGTATTCAACTTACAGCTTTTATAAAGCTTATTCAACTGGAGCTTTTTCTATTCAAACACAAATGACATGCTCCTTCAACTGATTTCATTTTTATTCACAGTGCAGGCCAGCTGAAGAAATGTTGATACTGAAAAATGAAGATGATCTACTCTGTATATAAAATGTCAGAACAAAGCTCAAAATCTCTGTGTGTGTGTACAGTATCAGTAAAGGTTCAATACTTGTGTGTTTCTGTATGACCACCTTCCTTTATGAGGAAGTTAACTGCCTAAGTGACTACCTTACTTTTGAGGTACAACTAGGTACAGAATTATTTTGGCCATATTCAGGCATTAAGGAAAACTCCAGTTTATCTTTATTAAACATCATCTATATTTATTCTAGTAGGGGCACTATCTTGCCACTCCACTATCTTTACGAACATAAATATTTATTTAAAAAATAAGAGAGGGCTGGGGATTTAGCACAGTGGTTCCACTGCCTGTCTCGCAAGCCCAAGGTCCTGAGTTCAATCGTTGGTACCACAAAAAACCCCAAACAAACAAAAAAAAACAAATAAAAAATAAGAGAATATCCTGGAATTATTACGTAAACATCAACTTCATTTTCCTTATAAAGCTTATTTACAAACTACTGGATGACATAATCTTTATATACACTAACCACAAATTAAATCAAATTAAAAAATCAGTATACAAGAACACATTTCTAATAAATGAAACTCAAAATACCAATAACAAAATACAACAAAATATCTGAATTTGATTATTTTATGACATCTAAACAGTACTTTGAGTGATTAATTTTGAAGTAAATACATTTTGATATTAAATATGATATTAAGACCTAAAAAATGAATACACATTTTAAAAAATGAGTAAAGTAAGAAAACTAAGTCTTTTCTCATACACAGTACATGGTAAGAATATACTCTGCTCACATGACTGTCAAAAATCTAAGATGTTTTATTTAACACTTTTATTATTTATGTTTAATTAGCAAATAAAAATTGAACATATTTGTCATGTACAACATGATTTTTTTTTTGGTACTCGGGATTGAACTCAGGACCTTGCACTTGCAAGGCAGGTGTGGGACAACATGATTTTTTGAAATATACATACTCTACAGAATGGCTAAATTGAGCTAATAACATGAATTACTTAATATTACTTATCAGTTATTTTATGGTATGGATATTTAAAGTCTACACTTAGCAATTTTCAAGACTCTAGTACATTATAATAAATAACAGACACCATGTTGTACACAGGTCTCTTCAAATATTTCTACTGTCTAACGGAAATTTTACATCCTTTGATCAGTATCTCCCTAAAAACTTCCATTTCTGATAGCTGTAGAAAGATCACTTTTATACCTTGGAATGTATGTGCAAATTAAGCTAATATATCATGAGCCCAAAATTAGAATATCTATATGCCTGAATATAAGTTAAGGTTTCTAACTTCCTGAAGTGATCTATTAGAAAAGGGAATTATCTTGTATTTGAGTCCTTACATACTATCTCACTACAAGATATTTTTTCATGTGCTTAAAAAGAAAAAGAAACTGAAAAAGAAACATTGGCCTGAAACTTAACCTCATTCAGAGCTAGTTTTAGGTTTACAGAAATGTCCTAATGAGAATCAGAAAAAAAAGGAAAAAAATACATTAATTCAGGTTATAACCTTAAAATTGCTGAATGTTGTTATAAAGAGGCCTTTTAAAAACTGCTTTCAAAAGTCGTTAAATACTATTATTCTTCAGAAAGGACACTAGTCACAGTAGCTAATTCCAGGAAAGTAATTGGGCAGGCAAAGGAAGGACTGGGAGGGTGACCTACTTTTTATTATGTACCCATAACATTTAAAACCTTGTGAATATGTTATCTATAAAAGTAAAAAAAAAAAATTAAAGGTTAAATTCTAAAACAGAAATTATACCCAAATGTTACAATCAATGACAAATCAAACATACATGATTATGTTGTAGAGATTATAAATATACAAGACAATCTCAAAAAAAGGTCCTACTGGGCTGGGGATTTAGCTCCATAGTTCTGCCGCCTGCCTCGCAAGTGCAAGGTCCCAAGTTCGATCCCCGGTACAAAAAAAAAAAGGTCCTACTGTTTTGTGAATGGTATTTGGGATTCAGACATGAAATATTCAGTGTCAGATTGTGCATGTATCAAAAAAACTGGAACTCAATAAAGACAGGAATCAAGACTTGTTTTGGAAATTAGAGCTACAGATATGATACATGGGGTATCTGTTGATAAAAACACTGACCATGTACAGAGTTTGGGCAGGATGGTTTTATGAACTAAGACTAGATAAAGCAATCTTTCTATATTATGGCATTTCTTCATAAAATGTAACTAAATTAGTAAATTAAAATTTTAGCATTTCACTATCTCCTTAAGAGTTTATCATGAGAAACTACTCTATATCTTGGCTTACTTTACATTCAGGCATCTATATTAATTTCTGTAAGAGAACATAAGAAACTCTATCAAGTACATGACCATGAAACATAAACTTTCCCTTCTCTGTTGCAGATAACCAGTTTTTTGAGTAGTTTTACATCCTGATTTATACCAGTATAACCTTTTTTTAGGGTAATAATCTGACATGATACAGTAAGTCCCTTACTTATCAACGAATTCCATTCTTAGAGAACGTTTGTAAGCTGGATTTGTTCGTAAGTCCGACAAAGTGAGTTTTATACACCTTTGACACAAATATACAAGGTAAAGCACTAAAAAGCCAAATGCAAGGTCCATTCATATCTGTGAAAGTCTGCAACTCAAATGTTCGTAAGACTTATAGTACTAGCCCACATGTACTGTATAAACCTGATAACCATCACCAGTCAATGACAGCCTCCCAATGCCAAAATGTTACTTTGAAACGATCAGAAGAGTCTAGAGCTGTGCCTGACAACAAGATTCAGATACAAAACAAATCAAATCTTATTGGAAGGGAAAGCACATGCACACTCAGGACCTTCACTAAAGTACTAAAAATAGAAGTATGTATCTTTTACCCATTTTTCTAAATAAGATAAGGGCAATAATGAGGACTGTACAAAACCTACAAAAGTAAATAACAAGAGGTATGTGAAAGTATTCTGAAGGAAAAATTATTTCTTCTGGCTTTTAAAACTGAAAATCTAAAAATATACTTCTGAAGGTTTAAGGCTAATGAGAACTGTGGAAAGCACAGTAAATCCTCTTGCAATTCTCAATTCTGTCTTTTTAAATATGTATATTCAGTGTGTTCATAAATTTTAACATTACATTATATTTACATTTTAAGTATTAAAAGTAATTATTATCTATCTTTACTGATTTATGTTAAAAACTGATAGTACTGGGCCGGGGATTTAGCTCAGTGGTGCTGCCACTGCCTCGCCAGCGCAAAGTCTTGAGTTCAATCCCTGGTACTAAAAAAACCCCCAAAAATCGATAGTACCGTATTTTTGGAGACTCTGGGATGTTCTGTGATGAATGAATATTTGTGAAACAGGTCAAGAATGAGTAAACATATTCATTTTGTACACAAATACTGAGAATTTGGTCATACCCTATGCCCAATAAAATAAAAACTACTCACATAAGAAGTTCTTGCCTTAGTGATCGCTGAAATACTTAAATTGTGCCACTTCTGAAGAAAAGTATCACATAAGGGAGATAGGGAAAGAGAAGGAGAATGTACACACAGCCATAATTGCTTTCCCAAGCATCAGCACAGGGAGTGACTTTCCAGTATCATTCCCACATGCAATCTGCTTGTGTGAAAACGGACTGAATCTAAAGTAGCTTTCTTAAAGCACAATCTTAAGGCAGTGTTAACACCAAAAACACTTACTGGGAAAATAATGAAAGAATTGGATAGAAAGTGAAATTGTGCCTGCTACTCAAACGATTTAGTACCTGTCAAAGGATATCCTTCATAAAAGAGTGCTGAATGTAACTGACAAAAAAAATCAGGAATAAACTGCTCTCATAAAGAGGGTGACTTTTAATGCACATGCGGAACAACTCACCATTCTTCCTTTCATTCAGAGAGGGTAAATGCTGACTGGACTGCAAGGAGAGCTCCTGGAATTCATGAGCAACAGCCTCACTTTGAGGACTTGGTGCAAGATGGGCTAGAGGACCCAGCTCATCTTCAGTGTCTGGAGCCCCTCCGTGATCCATTGTGTTCCAGCCACTGAGAACAAGGAGTACGAGATACCTCTTACACGTGGCCTGTTAAAGAGACTGTCAAGATAAAAAAAAAATGTGTAAATAAATGGCACATTTATTTTTCTCCAATTCACACAAAAGTTTTAGGATAGGATCCCTGAGTTCTAGTCCAGTTTCACTGCTGTGGGGCCATTATCAATTCATTTACCCTTTCTGGACCTCAGGCTTCTGTCCAATACACAGAAATAATATACTTACCACCCAAAACAGCAATTATATGGCAAATAAAAGTCGAATGATTTCGTATCAAGAATTAAAGTTATAGCTATTGATGTCGTTAAAGACCTTAATGTACACTTAAATGAGAAGAGCATTAACAAAGGCTAAAAACAATAAGCAGCTGTCTTGAAAATTCATCTTAAGACTCCTACATTCATCCACAGCAATCAACAAAGCTTCAGCTAAAGACTACTTTATCAGCCTGGGTCTAAGTGTGGAAAAAAAAAGGAAAAAGAACTTTCAGCTAACCCACAATGGACATACAGTTCATGACAAAGAAAATTTAAGTCTCTGAGAACTGGGGTTGTTATACCACAGCATAAACTGGACCATGCTGACTGATATAGAAATTGGTAACAGTAGTCCCAAAAGACAAAAACCCTGAACATGTAATACTCATTTTGTGGCTGAACAGTACACAGTAAGGAAACTGTTACCAGAAGCTTGAAAGATGGTGGTCCATGTTATGCAGTGGCAACATATCTGGTAAGACTGTTGCCTACTTAACTCAGTAGTATTGTCTGTTCATTCACCTACTACAAGAAAATGCCTCCAAAAACTTCCAACTCTCCCAAAGCCAACCCAAGGGGCATCAAGAGGGAGGAAATCACAAGGCATAAACCAGGAATGTCTGAAAGGATATCAACCGAGGTAACAAAACAGTTCAATAAGGTGTTTGGTGAACCTAAAGATTTAACTAAACAGATAATGACCCAAATGAAACAAATGATCAGGGAGTACAGAGAAGACACTAATAAAAATCTAGTGGAGCTAAAAGAAAGACATGCAAATCATGAACACATAGTATAGAAAAGAATAGGAGTCCATAAAAAAATTCCAAACAGGAATCCAAGACATTAAAAATACAATTGGAAGGGGCTGGGAATTTAGCTCAGTGGTTTCACTGCCTGCCTCGCAAGCTCAAGGTTCCAAGTTCGATCCCGGGTACCAAAAAAATCCACAATTGAAAGTCTGGGCGGCAGAGTTGACCAATGTGAGGACAGAGTGTTCTATCTAGAAGACAGGGTTGTGGTTAATAATCAATTAGTGAAAGTTACCTTAAAATCAACAAGAGAACATGAAAAATGGATCCAACAACTGCTAAATGACTCAAAGAATACTAATATAAGAGTAACTGGAATTAATAAAAAATGAGAAGACAGCACAAAGGACACAAAAAACCAGTTTGCAGAAGTAATAACAGAAAACTTTCCAGGCCTAAAAAAAGAATTTAACATGCAGACAAGTGAGGCATAAGAACCCTGAATAGCCATTATAAGGGGGAAAAAACACACATCACTCCACACCACATAATAATTAAAACAGCAGAAATCCAAGACAAGAACAGAATCTTGAAAGCTATTAAAACAACAAATCATCTATAAAGGAAAACTAATCAAAACTGCAACAGACTTTTCAATATGAACCATAAAAGCAAGGAGAGCTTAGAAGGAAGTATTTCAAGACCCCCCCCACACAACACGCCCCAAAACCCAAACTTCCAATGTAGATTGATATGTCCTGCAAAATTACCTTTCAAAATTGATGGAGAAATAAGGTATTTCATAATTAAGAACACCTAAAGAAATTCATGATCACTAAACCAACACTCCGTAAAATTTTCAAAGATATACTCCAAAGAGAAAATGAAGTAAACAATGTTAACAGGTCCAACAAAATGAATGCATCAGGGAGTGCTAGCAATTAAATAGAAGGAAAATAGAAAGCAAAACAGCAACAAGTAAGTAATACAAAGACAGAAATAAGTCAATACCTATCAATTATAACTATCAATGTGAATGGACTCAATTTGTCAATTAAAAGACAAAGATTAGGAGAATGGATCAAGAAACAAAATCCAATGTTATGCTGTATACAAGAAACACATCTAACCCAAAAAGAACTCACGGACTAAAATATAAAGAATGGAACAAATATTCCATGCAATGGGAACCTGAAAACAAGCAGGAGTAGCTATCTTATTCTCACACAAGGTAGACCTTAAGCCAAAACTGATCAAAAGAGACAAAGAAGGACATTACATACTGGTTAAGAGAACTATTCAAGAGGAAGAGATTAGAATTATAAACATATATGCACCAAACCAAAGTGCTCCCAACTTCATAAAACAAACACTAATGCAAAAACAGATCAGATAAACATCAATACAATTATAGGGGGGAATCTCAATACCTCACTATCACAAATAGATCAACTAACCAAAAAGTAACAAATATCAGAGTTGAACCAAACTTCTGAAGAAATGGACTCAATAGATATCTACAGATTGTTTCATCCAACAAAAACACTACATGGTACTTTGTCCAAAATAGATCACATATTAGCTAATAAAGCATGGTTAAGTAAACGCAAAAGCATTGAAATTTTACCATGCAGATTATCAGATCACAGTGCAATGAAACTAGAAACCAACAACAAAAGAAACCCTTATAAATTATGCAAATGTACAGAAATTATCACACTCTTGAATAATCAATGAATCACAGAAGAAATTAATGAAGAAATCAGACAGTTCCAAGACTCAAATGATAATGCCACTACAACATACCAGACCTTATGGCAAACAGTGAAAGCAATCCTATGAAGAAAGTTTATAGCTGTAAATGCCCGTATCAGAAAAACAGAATGAGCCCAAATAACCTAAAGACACATCTCAAGATTCTGGAAAAACAAGAACACTAAAAAATGAGAGCTTGTACAAAGAGGAAAAATTATAAACATTAGAGCAGGAATCAATGAAATGTAAAGAATCAATGGATTACTGAGCTGGCTCTTTGAAAAAATAAACAAAATAGTTGAATTCTTAGCCAATTTTACTAAAAAAGGAAAGAAAAGACATAAGTCAATGCAAATAGAAATGAAAAAGGTGAAATCACAATGGGCACCACCAAAATCCAGAAAGTTATTAGCAACTACTTCACAAACGTATGTGCCAAAAAATTGGAGAACTCTGAAGAAATGGTGAGATCCCTAGATATGTATGAATTACCAAAACTGAACCACAAAGTCTTGAAAATCTCAAATAATCCAATAACTGGCAATGAAATTGAAGCAGTAATTAAAAACTTACCAACTGAAAAAAGCCCAGAACCTGATGGGTTGACTGCCAAATTCTATAAGAACTTTGGGGAAGATGTAACACATATATTTTTCAAACTCTGTAATGAAATCAAGAGGGAAGGAGTACTTCCAGAATCATTCTTGGAAGCCAGCATTACCCTGATCCCAAAACCAGACAAGGATCCAACCAAAAACAAAAAACTACAGGCTGATTTCTCCAGTGAATATGGATGCAAAAATCCTTAAAAAGATAGTGGCAAACAGAATGAGAAAAATCATCCAAAAGATCATATGCCATGACCAAGTATGCTTCACTCCAGGGATGCAAGGATGGCTCAACATATACAAATCAACAAATGTAATTCAGCACATAAACAAAAGCAATTACAAAAATCACATAATCATCTCAATAGATTAAAAAAGAGCCTTTCACAAAATCCAACATCCATTCATGGTAAAAAAAAAAAAAAAAAACAAACCCTGAAGAAAATAGTTATAGAAGGACCTTATCTCAATATAATAAAAGTAATTCATGAAGGACTTCCAGGAAGATGGCAGAGTAGTAAGCAGCAACAAATCAGCCTCTCCAAGATTTGGAATATTGACGCTGGAAAATAACATTTTTGGGAAGGAAAGAAGGAGACGGGTGGATCCCTGGGACCCAGGAAGGGCCTGAAGGGAAACTTTGAGCCTACAGAGACACTGAAGAGACAGATCACAACACAGAAAAAGGAAGGGGTAACCTGCACTTTCTCCTGGCTCCTGGCTTATGGCATAAGAAAGGTCAAATCTACAATACCACAGTGGAAACAGGTGACTCCAGAAATCTCCAGGAAGAAATTCACCAGTGGAATGGAGTAGTGTATGCTGTGCACTACAATAGCTGGTGTGTGACTCCAGTCCAAGTGACTGCTGTGCCATCTGGAGAGTGTACTTGGTAGGACACCATTTTAGGGAGGGGCTGACTGGGCCCAAGACTCAGAGAAGCTGTGGTTTGGCCTCATCTCGAGCTCACAAATACTACCTTGAAATCATCACCTACTTTGATAACCTATACTCTATTCAGAAGAAACGGACACATTCCTAGACACATGTGAATTACCAAAGCTGAATCAACAAGGTATAAAAATTTTAAATAGGGCCAGGGATTTAGCTCAGCGGTGCTGCTGCCTACCTTGCAAGCACAAGGTCTGGAGTTCAATTCCTAGTACAAAAAAAAAAAAAAATCTAGATAACCCCAAATCAGTCAATGATATTGAGGACATAATTTTAAAAGCTACCAACAAAGAAAAGCCCAGGTCCTGAAGGATTCACTGCTGAATTGTACAAGAACTTTTGAAACAATTTAATGCCACTACCCCTCAAACTTTTTAATGAAATTGAAAGAGAAACAATACTCCCGAAGTCATTCCTGGAAGGAAGCATTAATTATTCTGATACCAAACCCAGAGAAAGAGCCAATTAAAAAAGAACTACAGGCCAGTCTTCTTAATGAACATAGATGCAAAAATCCTCAATAAGATACTGGCAAAGAGAAGATAGAAAATCATCAAAAAGACTATACAGCATGACCAAGGAGGATTCATCCCAGGGATGCAGGCATGGTTCAACATATGCAAATCAATAAATGTAATAGAATACATTAACACAACCAAGGACAAGACCCACATGATTATCTTAATAAATGCAGAAAAAGCATTTGACAAAGTCCAACA